TTTGAAGTACCGTGACTGCGATCAGCTATGTGTAAGATAGAATTATGATTGATGATCACAATATGACTAGGATTGGTAAGTCATTCTGTCAAGTGTTTAGAGTCACTCCAGATTAATCTATTTCTAGGTAAAATAAACGCACCTCATTCTTTAATATAGGTAGAAAACTTGGGCAGTGTGGTATAATTTAGCTCCATCTTAGATTTCTTAATTGGATTTATAACACACAGTGATATAGTATTATTTACTAGACGTTTCAAGCATAATTTATCACTGCTCATAATCATATCCATGTAGTCACACTACTTTGAACATTTGATTCCTATATTTACGTCATCTCACATAATTTGTTTTGGTATTGGTAGTGAAATCTTCCACGTTTCTCGCATAACTCTAGCATCGTTTCCGTTGCATGTGTTGCGCGTTGATTCGATGAACAAAGATTCAGTAATCATTCCAGCAGGTATCTAGACTTCCAGCCATCTCATTCAATGTCAGTCACGGAAGGCACGTTTAGTCAAATATCTAACTGATAGAGCTAGAAAACCCACTAGTCACTCCAAAGACTTAAACAAGCAACCAAAACACATTTAAAAAGCACTAATACTTAATAATTATACTCCACAGTTTATTATGAAATTCCTACAAACACGAAATTATAACAACAACACAAGTAGAAAGGACTTCACAGCCTCCATTGCATTACCCTATAACGAAGGTACATCAGAAACTTCAAGTAGGATCCTCAACAAAGTTGAAATTAGGCTAGCATTTCAACCTACAAAATCACTCACACATAAGCTTTGTCGGCTGACTTAAGCATCCGATAGATTCAATTCACCAAATTAATCTCACCTATCAAATTCCATGTAATGACTCCGAGGTCGAGTACATAGGTCGCGATCAATTAGAATAGTGGAACATAGCAATTCAACTAAATATACAATCACACACCCACACAACAGTGAACAATATAGAAAAACACTCGACTATAACAATCCATGCAGTAACACACAACTACACAATACCATGGGATAAAACCATTGTACTCAAGTCCAATTTAATTAGGTGGAGATAGACAGACAAACAGACAGAGACTGATTACTGAATCATTTTGTTCATCGAATCAACACCCAACCAGTATATGTAATAAGTATGAAGCAACACTTATACCAGAGATATCAAAATCTTTACTACCGATGCAAATAGAGAATAACGGATGACAGAACTATAAAAATCAGTTGTCGAAAGTAACCTGATTACATTGATGTGATTATGAACAGTAATAATTCATCCTCGAAACTTCATCAACTAAATAATACTGTATCCCACTACCTGTTATAAATCAAACAAACAAATCTAATATGGTGTTTCAACTTCCGTTAATTCACAATAAACCGCGATCACTAACCAATATCCTCGATGAATATCCTTCCAATGACCACTACTTTTAAATAGTTCCCTAACTCATGTCAGTTCATTATCAAAACTATTAACACACACCAAATGATTACTGTTTCTATAACACTTCAAATAAAATAAAATCAGTGACTTCGCATAGCTTTCACACTACGCTGTGCAAGCCGCTTCTTTCAACACAAATAGGCAGATTGTCAGTCAGTTAAGAGAACTGTGAGGTCTAGTATATTATAACGTAACAATTCAGCTTATCACACCCCTTGTCAGTACATCAGGTAAGAAGGCGATAAGGTGGGAGATGGAGAAATAGGTAAGAAAGTAGTCAAAATTGTAGGAAGTTGTAAAGAGAGGATAAGAAGGAATGAAACAATAATGGAATTCGGTATTTGCACCACTGGACTCCATTCTAAGTCATATCACTACCAACTTCACCCAACCAGTATATGTAATAGGTATGACGCAACATTTATATCAGAGATATAGGAAATTTTACTACTAAAGGAAATAAAGAATAACGGGTAACAGAACTATAAAGATCAGATGTCGAATGGAGTGTGATTACGCATTGATATGATTATGAGCAGTGATAAATTATGCTTGAAACATCAAGTAAATAATACTATATCACTGTGTATCATAAATCAAATAAACATATCTAATATGGAATGAACCTAGTTCTTATTAAAATATAGGTGTAAAAGTAAACAGTAACAGAGGTAGACTGTTTTGAGCCCCACATGGCTCATCAACTTGTATCAGAAATATCTTGTTTTGATTCTTTAAACACGCTGTAATTATATTAAAATATATTCATATAATGATTAAATCAGACTTGATGCTCAACTTCTTCGAGGATACACCTGACATATAGTTTGAAGTTACTTTATCTCAATCATATCCATTCTACATAAATAACTGTTTTATTCCATTAATACTCTTCTGTTCTGGATTATAATTGAATGCATTCATGCAGTCAGTTATTTGATTAGCCATCTTGTTTTGTTTTCTATATTCATTCAGCTGCATTCCAGGAATAATCATCATTCAATTACAGTAAGTCAAGAGCTAAGGTAGCAGTTGAAATAAACACTTCAATATGCAGTTAACTAGAAATTATTCATCAGTATTTACGTTCATTTAAGTTGTAGTTATCCTGGAAACTAACTGTAGAAATATGATCAGTTATCTCCCTTCTTCCCTTCTATTCAATACAGTTGGCGAAACAAAAGCTATATCCTTACGATTAGTGTAATCACTCTTCTTCACCAAGTGTAGATTCTAATCATAACTAGATATAACTGTAACAAATATACTACTACTGAACAAGTTGAGTAGTTAGAAAACAATCAGGCTGATTTGTAGATGTCACAAGCCAGAGCAGAGTAGTCCAAATACTGGATAACCGTTTCGACTTTTTTTGGACCAAACCAGTTCGTCAACGGTGTGTACTGGAAATAATTTAGCTTACATACCCAAATCTTGGGTGATCTCAACAATTCAGGGACTGGTTCAACCTAGAACAAGTGAAACTGCTATCCAGCGCTTATACCATTTCGATCTAGCTGACAAAATACTACAGATCAGCTTTGAGTGGTTTATAACTACTCAAGTTGTTGAGTAGTCGTATCTTTCGCTATTTTATGACACCTTTGTATCAGAGACCACACGTCATGATCTTGGCTGACAGATGGTTTCCAATGGAAACCTTGATGATGGCAATTGAAAAACCACTCAACTATGAGAAATATTAATGTGGAGTGTGCAATCTGTCAATTATTTATGCGATTATACTATTTATCAAGATGAAATTGTCTCGAATTCACAGTGTAGTCGGGTAAAACAATTGGTGAAGAAAGGTGAAATAAAAATCTGGCCAATATTCAGACCTCGTAGGTCACTCAGTTGATAGAACATCTGGCCAAAAACTCAGTGGTCGCTGGTTCGAATCCGATCCCGGTTCAGAGTTTCATTTCACCTTCAATCATCACCCGTTATCAGTACTAGTCTGCCAAACCAAGGCTATCTCAGATAGTCAAAATAGTAATCAATATGATGCTCCCCCTCTCTAAATCAGCTAGATTTCGATCAGGATAAGAAGTCCTGACTGGGCAGTCAATGTAGGTAGGATCAGGCGGTAGTAACGCATCACCAATTCACGGGAAGTGGATAAGTAAAAAAGAGAAACACAATAAGAATAACATGATAAGTAGAGCAGTCCAATAAGATACATTCAAAACAAAACATTCACTACTTTTCAGCAGTGCAAGATAAAAGAAAGATACAGAATGACCACAACTGATTTCGATCCTCAGCCATATCTGATAACGTCTGAAGTCACTGAGTTACTTGATCTCTCGAACTCCACCCAGACAGTCGTGATGAACCAACAGATACTAACCTGATACAACTATCCTTCACCCCATGGTGCCACATTATACACTGACCAACCCTCCGCTCCTTCCCATTCACTCCAAGGTTAGCAAACAATGAACAATATAAAACCCGTTGGGACAACATGTACAACACATATCCAAGTCATCAAAGTCGGTGTTTCAAGATGACTTCACTTATTGAATGACAATCTTCATCATGGCCAAACACACACTGTCGTACCTTAGGATTACTTATATGGTATTACCACCAGATATGAGCAACCCTATGGAGACAGCGGTGTTCGAACAGACAGTCGTCGCACATCCTCAGCTCGGAGAGGTCAGGTTTCACAAGCATAGAGCAGAACTGCTCACACCGAAGTGTTGTAAACTCGTCTTAATGGCACCAGAGGTGGCCCAGACTGACGTATGCCACCCAGGCTTTCGATATGCGGTTACAAATTTCATCACTCACACTTCCACCAGCATTCACACAACTACCGAGATACACTAACTTTTCGACTACTCCCAACGCCTCACGACGAAGAGTGCTGGCACAGGCTAATGCCAATGTTGCAAGAGTACTTTGCATTTTAATGGTGAAAAGCACATGCCATACTTATGGACAATTCGACTCGAATTTACAGCCATTCTTAGCATTACACCATTAAGTTATCATATTTCCCTCGTCGACAGTGCGTACTACTTCTCAACAAGATTTATTACATCTATTACACTAGAACGAATGTTATAACCCAACGGTGGCTGAAACAACAGTTCATGTGACTGAGTCTCAGTAAAAAAACAAACATCAACTGGGATCATCTATAATACAAATAGTTAATACAATACTAATCATGTATACAGTAATTAAAATGTTATCATGTTGTTAACAATCATGATATCAAACCAGTTGTACAAACTAACGCCAAAAGATATTGATTATGTTGTTTAAATAAATCAACAGTAGAAGTGATACAAGGTCGTATGAACCTTGATTACAGCTTTGAAATTTAGTAATAATGATAATAATAATTTATGGGTGCTCATAGTAACATTTTGATGACACTTACTATTTTTTTACATTATAATCACAGTTATCATATCTGACCCATTTTTAAAAACGAAAAACAAAGAAAATAATAATAAAAGGGTGAAAGAACTAATCAAATGAATAATACAACATTAATACATAGAATTACTACTTACTCAAAATATCTGTTTCATCGACAATTTCAGCTTGAATAATCTCTTCAATTACATCTTCTAAAGTGACTAAACCAATCATTTCTCTGTAAGGGTCACATTCACCTTCTGTTACTAAACGTTCAACAAATGCCATATGAGCTCTTCCTAAATTGAGTAATATTTCAAAAAAAACTTATGATAAATGATAAACTAGATGAGCAGTTACTTTCACAATACTACTATTAAAATAATAAAAGTAATAAATAAAAAAAATGTGAATCTGTGGCTCATATATGACCGATTATCAGATCATCAATCAACCCTCTGAGGAACAAATGGATTTTTGAAGGTCCAGCAATGGTCTTTAGTGACTGTAGTAATGAATGATGTGAGGATAAGTCTAACAAGTAGTAAAAATTGTATCTCGTAATTGCAACTCAACCAAGAAACTTATGTTCAAGGTGATCCTACCTATTAATTCATTATGAATACCTCTTTAATGCAACCCTTGACTTCTACAACAAATATAGTGATGTACCTCACCACACAGAGGTATGCTGGGGAATAGCTACTACATTCAAAGATGAAAGCAAACGTGAACACACCTCTTAAAACAGGGGGGGGGGATAGTGAAGCAAAATACCGATACAGAACTTCATTAAAACTTCGTAATTCGAATGACTACAATTTCAATCCCTTAATGAGAATTAATTGAAGGGCAAGTCTGGTGATAGCAGCCGCAGTAACTACAGCTTGAAAAGTGTATATCAATGTTGTAGCAGCTAAAAAGCTTGTAGTTGATTCTAGATCATATGGTCGCATGCCGTTCCGTTCCGTTCGTTCACGTTTATTGGTTACAATCAGAGACATATCTACATAATAACTTGGTTTCATGTATTCATCAAACATACATATAAAATATTAAAGAGTTGCTAAGCTGCCTTACTTTCTAGTATATGAGTCAACAGCTGGAGATTACTTAGCATAGTGGAAGCAATGGAAACCATTGATAAGGTTGTGGAGATATCGTCCACCGGATTAGTTTGCTGGTCACCAGTTCAAACCCCACTCCACCTATACAGGAAGTAGGATCAGCTCTCAGACATTAGATAAGACTGATCCGTCAGCTAGTTCAGAGTAATCCAAACAGTGGATGGCCAATTCGCTCGGGCTGGCCGGAACAAGCTTATCAGCGGTGTACTCAGACTAACTCAGCTCACAGAGCCGAATCTCGAATGACTTCAAAAACCGAGGGACTGACTCAACCCAGAACGAGTGGAACTTCTGTCTAGTATTTAGATCACTCTGATCTCACTGACAAAATCTACAGATCATCCTGAATGCTTTATAACTAATTAAGTTGTTCACTAGTGTAGACAGTAGGTAGAGCTTATTGTCGAGTTTACAGACATGTATGTGATTGTTGAATTACTTTCATTCATCCTTTTTTTTCTAAACAATTTATTTCACTCGTGAACTCTTCAAAAAGATTTAGTGAGCACATCTTCCCTTAGATGTAACTCCCAAATATCTTTTTTTCCATTCAGTATAACCAAATTACTATCCGGGAAGAGATCAACGCAGACGAAACCAATGAAAGATGGTGAAGGAAAGTTAGTTCCCAAGGAGGAGAAACAAAGGAAACAATGGACTGACCACTTCAAAAAACTCTTGAATCGATCATCACCTGCAACTAACCCACAAATACCGCCAGCAACGGCAGAACTACAAGTGAACACAGGCCTTCCCACAAAAGCAGAAGTCCTGAATGCCATAAAGTTGCTGAAATACGGGAAAGCAGCAGGACCAAAAGGAATCCCGCCAGAAGCACTGAAAACGGACGCACAGAAAACAGCGGATATGCTCACACCTTTATTGCAGAAAGTTACGAAAGAAGGAAGGATAGAAAGTTACCTGCCCATTGATTGGAAGAAGGGATATCTTGTAGAACTCCAAGAGAAGGGAGACCTAAGTCTTTGCAAGAACTGGCGTGGAATCATGCTCCCAACCCTTTCCACCCAAAGCAAGCAAAGTATTAAGCCGCATCATCCTGGAAAGACTGAAACATCCTCTGGATTCAAAATTAAGACCGGAACAGGCTGGCTGCAGGAAAAACAAATCATGTGCGGATCAAACTGCAACGCTAAACTATGTATCATCATAGAACAGAGCATAGAATGGCAGTCAAATCTCAACTTCAACTTCATCGAATTTGAAAAGGCCTTCGATAGCGTCGACCGACAAGTAACTGCTTCAACACTACGGTTTTAGTGCTACAAACCTTTATCAATCTCGTTCAACAATTATATGAAGAAGCCACATATCAAGTGATCCACAATGGAAAGCTCAGTGATGCCTTTAAAGTGAATACAGGAGTAAGACAAGGCTTCCTACTATCACCCATGATCTTCCTGATTGTGGTGGGCTGAACTGGATCATGCAGAAAACCGTGAAGAGCGAGAAAATGGGCATACGCTGCTCGACCGATGAAAAGACCCTAGAAGAAGATTTGGATTTCGTCAACGATGATGACTTATGTCTGACGTCTTGTCGCACAAAATCGAAGATCTACAAACGAAAACTAACAAGCTGACAGAAGAGGCGAGACAGCGAAAACAGGACTTCAAATGAATGTAGAGAGGATGGAGGTGATGAAGATACCCAACCAACAACAACAAGCACCATCAACGGGAGGAATCTAAAGGAAGTAGTCTCTTTCACCTACCAACTAAGCAGCATCGTTTCAACTACAGACAGCTGTACAGACGAGGATGTCAAAACCAGGATCGGAAAAGCAAGACAGGCCTTCACTAATCTGAAGTCAGTGTGGAGATCTACTGCACTCAGTATAAAGCGTGAACAAGATCCAGATTTCCAACACCAATCTCAGTCAAGTAAGTCAGTGCTTCTATGTGTTGGTTGAGAGACTTGGCGTGTCACGAAAAGCATTTCCGACAAACTACAGACATTCATCAATAGCTACCGCCTAAGCTCACTCGATAATGAAGATCAGATTGGAAGGCCAAAAAGAATAAGCAATAAGGAAATCTGGCCTGGCAACGAACTAACCAGGAACCTATCACCCAACAAATATACAGAAGGAAGTGGAGATGGATTGGGCATGCACTGAGAAGACCATTCGGGGACATCACGCGCCAGGCCAGGTCGTCGAGTGGAATCCAAGGGGGAAACGATGAGTTTGGCATCCGAGGCTAGGGTGACATGGAGGAAATCATGTGAGGAAGAAATGAAAGCTTATGGCAGTCATGGCGCCAGGTTCGAAAGACTGCAGAGGACAGAGTGCAATGGAGGCGTGCTACTGACGCCCTATGTTCCTCTAAGAACCTAAGGGAAAAAGAACAATAATAATAAAGTTATGATCAAGTTAACTGCAGTTATGAAGAGACGAATATTCAGATTCATTTTGTCTCTGCATAGAATTCTTTTGTATACTAATTGTAAATATTTGACATCTCAAATACTACGCCTAATGTTTCATTTGACTGTGTAAGAGAATAACAACCTTAAGAATGGGATTGAAGAATGAAGAATGACACAGTTGCTTACCAGTAGAATAGTATCCTATACTTAACTAAAGAAAAAAGTCGAATTCACTTTTAGTTAAGTCATTATGATAATTAACGCTTTAGTAATCGATGAGTAATACGTCTCCAGCAATATTCAATTCTATATCATATATAAGACATCTAGTTGATAACCACATGATTCAAAGTTTGTAAAAATGATTACAAAGAATGCTCAGTATGATACAATCGTACATGTGTCACTTGTATCAAATATAGTACAACATTAAGAAAAAGTGAAGTATTTTTTGTTGACTAGGCCAGGATTTTTCATTCGTATAGAGTTTAAAGTTGATTTCGTTAAGTATTAATGATGATTAGGCGTAGAAATTCCTAAGATTCAATCCAACAACTAGACTTTTTTTAAGTGATATCAACCTGAATATTTTTAATCCATAAACTGTTAACTATGTGCGATGGAAAACTTGAAGAAAAATAGTAGAGTATTCAAAGAAGACATTTTCGAGCCATAATCTAGCTAGAATTGATTTCAAGCTGATATTCGTCACGGACTGACATCAGTTGGAGAACCATTGAAAGTATGAGAGTATAGAAAAGCTGCTTCGTTCTAGTATGAGACTCTTTAGCAGCACGCACTCACAACCCGATTGGGGATCGAACTCAGGACCTTCGGGTTTCACGGAGAACGCTGTAACTACTCAGCCACCAGGTTGGGGTTCAATGCTTCACAGTTTTAAAATTCTGTCAAATTCGTGATATAGCGTAACTATCACTCGCTTGCCTTCCGACTGGTTGACCCCACAGGTCAAGGCTTCTCATTAGAACTTCAATATATCTATCCGGAAGCATGTCACTAATGACCACTATACAGTAATACATTTTGAGATGAATGGGGATTTGAATTTTGAGGTAGTATTCATCATGGACTGACATCGGATGGAGAACCATTGAAAATATGGGAGTATAGAACAGCTGTTTCATCATATACCCCCCACCTCCTTAGGGGTCGAACATAGAACATTAAGGTTTGGCGGCTAGCATGTATCCATTGAGTCGGAATTTAACGCCCACACTTTCCTACTGCTTTCATTTCACGACATAGCGTGACCTTCATCCAATGTCATCATTGGGTGTTTGTCCTCATGTCTGACTTGGTTTGCCTCATCGGTCTAGTACCTTTTGCCACGATAGCTGATAAAATATCATAACTAACAAATTACATGTTCAGCATAGAAACCTGGTAAGCAGATTGATTACTTTTCATGAGTCCTACAGAAATATTTTACAGAAAAAATTTTTGGATTGCTGATCAAGCAGTTGGAAGTTATCTCTCATTATGTTAGTCTGCTTGGTGGCTATCAAGGGAATCCAGGAGGCGTGTTTCACCCCACTTGGAACTCATTGGGTGAACGTGATTGATGGCGTTCCCAGTACGACTAAAACCCGGTACCCACCGCTTCAAATCACAAAGCATTATCCACTAAGCAACTACGGTAACGGGTATTAGATGTTATTTGCTACTTGTAGTCTTCCGTTGCTATACGGGTTCGAATTGCTTGGCCACTGTTGGAAGATGGGCTCTTGTGTAGATTCCTCCGTACTGTCAATATTCACTCACTG